TGCTCCAGAGGCCCTGAGGCAGAAGTTGATTTGATCTCTTGCTAGACCGCAGCATAATTACAATCCTTACTAATTATAGTAGCCAGATTGGAGCTGCAGGAGTTTTGCATACCTGGGCTTGCTTACGATTCATATGAATGCGTTGATGTTATTAGCATTCAGATCAAAGGTGTTGACAAATTTATGTTTTTACTTGCAGTTTGGATCATTTCATGTCATAGACTGGTCCAGATAATTCAGAAAAAGCAGGTTTTTTCTCCTACTAAGATCTTCAGAGCAGATAATGCACCATGAGCACTGAAAACGTATCAGTATTAAGCACAGTAGTGGACAGAGAATAGATTTTAGATTTGACTGACGTGAATTGTAGAACATTATAAAACCTTAATGGCTAGACATATAATTGAATATCATTAAATTGTTCAGGTTATTTTAGTCCTGGTAATGAGCAGCCGGGCAGTTCAGCTGGACCATTTTCTTGTTGAAAACCATGTCTGTGGTTTCTAAAAAGCCTGTTTTTATTACTGTCTGGAAGGCCTCGTGTGGTTTTCAGGGGACAGACGGTTCTGTTAAAATCTTATCTTTCATTCCTAGATGTCAGATGGTCATTGATTAGAGTGGAGCTCTTAGGTGTTGATGGCGCAAAGGAGATTGTAAATTTATTTTGGAGGAAAACCATATGGAACTGTAAAATAAACGTGTTTTAGGAATGAAGAAGATAATAGTTTTATCCAAAAGATTATATTGTTTTGCCAGTACTTTAAAACCACGTGGTAAACATGCCAGGAACAGGGCTACAAATCTTTTAATGAAAACATATTGAGAATGGTTTCTCGTGTATTCCCTTTCATAGAAAATACATACATTTTTCTCCATTTCTGTGAAGTTTAGGTTTTCTGAAACTATGGTTTGAGTCAGGGAACTGAGGTCAGGCAAGGCAAATAAAATATTAAGGAAGTTAAGTTAACCACACACAAGGATACTCAGGCTTCTGAGAACTTGCAACCAAAATGTAATGAATTAGGAGAGCTACTGATGTTCCAAAAAGCCAAAACACAGTGCTCTATACATAGTATAGAGCACTCAAGGAACCCTCGCCAAGGCAATTCCCTATCTCGTAACAAGAGTGAAAAATAAAGTGTGTTTTTTTCTCTTATTCAGAGCCGCTCCAACATGTAATGGGTCCTTTCATTGGCCAAACAGACAAGCACCCAACAAACAAACAGAACGAAAAACATAGCCTCGCTGGCAGAATAAAGGTTAAGATAAATGGCTGAAATGTGCAAATGTAGTTCTCTTACAGGTACAAAGAGGTAAAGAAAAGCAACACTGGCGTACACTTCCACCCATATGATGTGTTCAAACTGATTAAGATAAGATAAGATGGACCTTTAATTAATCAAATCAAAAATAAGATCAGCGATAAAAATACAAATAATAATAATGAGAAACTATGAAATATGAAATGAATCAAATTAAAATTAAAATGGACATATATACATATAGAGTCATATTAAATATTAGATATATTAACATGGGTTGTGGAAACAGTGTCTATTTATGTATACTAATAGTTTCACATTATTGACCCCTTGTTGTGCAGCCTGATAGCTACAGGCACAAAGGACTGTCCGAGGCGCTTGGTGCTGCGTCGTGGAGGGATGAGTCTGTGGCTGAACGTACTCCTCATCTTCAATAGCTCTGCATGGAGTGGGTGGGAGGGGTTCTTTGGGATACAACTCATTTACAGTGTGATTGCATATTTAAGCCAGCAATCCAAAGATACAAACATACATAAATTTGCTCTGACTGTTGCGAGTTTAGGCAAAGAGATTCTGAATTTCCCTGCCAAAGGAGAAGTCTAAAGGAAAATATCAGATCAGTTTATATCAGTTTTGAGTTTTCCTGAATTGAACCCTGCGAAACGAACATTTTCGCACTACTGTCCGACATTCTTTGATGACAAACTTAATTCTTCTTTGGGTATCGGTTTAAAAAACACTGCATGTACCTTCACCCTTTGCTCTATAAATTTCTATGAAAAAACTTTATATTTTCCTTACATTTCTGGAAAACAGAGAGAAGCTACGGGAGGGAATATTCTCCATGGTTGCCCTGGGGTGTTACTGTCGGCAGCACCGGCGCATTAAAGTGTTTGTGTTACACAGTCAGTGCTACGTTTTTAAAAAAGAAGAAGGAAAAACAGACTTTTGAAAGGGATAAGATGCTGACATGCTAACTTTACTGATGGTCGCCAACCAAAACACGTGGCCCCGGCTTACGAGTACGAAGGTTTCGAAGAAAGAGACCCAAACGTATTCTCCCCCCTCAGCGCATCGTTTTTTTTCTCACGATACCGAGCAGTGGGCCACGAGACGCAAGCTTAAGTGTTATTCCAGCTAGGTAAATACAGGACACAGCTCCGACAGCGGTGCATGTATTAAGAGGCACAAATTGAATTATGTTGTTGAAATTCTAACACTGTGCGTTCTGCCAGCTGGTTTTGAGGTCAGACTGATTGAAATCTCAGTTTTCGTTCACTCGCAGAGAGGTTAAGATGTTCTGCACCGAAACATTCTGAGAGGACTTCCTTTTACAGGGGCAGGAAGTTCTGATGGATAGGCCTACTGGATGTTCTAATATGCAACCACAAAGTCCTGCCTTTACACCAATGCAGAGGTGGAAAACTACTCTGTGACTTTGTAGGCCTATACTCAATACTCTACTTGAGTATCTTCATTTCGAGATACTTTATTGTTTTCTGCATTAAATAAAAAAATGGAAGACAGACTCTTCCTTTAGCAATTTAAGGGTTGGTCTAGACTCTAGACTCTAGGGGAACATACAAATATAAAAATAAAGAGATGAAAGCTGATCTTGGATCTGGTGCTACCTCTCAGTGTGGTTTGGCTAAACCGCATAACATGCACCAAAGGAAGAGACGTCTCCAAAGTGGGCGCCCCAGTTGCGAGACACGAATGCTGGGTTTCCAACTGAGAGAAAAGATAGAAAAAAAACCTAATACATCATATCATCAATACATCTGCAGAGATATTGGTAGTCATGGAGATGGTTTCTATCACAATGTGGTATAAAAATAGCAGCATCGGCGCTCTTCGGTTGGAGAAGGAGACAGTGAAAGCACTTATCTCAGCATCATGTTTTTTGATGGAGGGATGGAATAATGAACTTCATGGACGGGAGGATATGGAGAATCCTGTCCCTATTCAGCTCTCACTCGCCTCAGTGACCACACCAAAGCCACAATGTTAATGCTGTGTGTGCGAATATTACTCCAAGATGCTCCAAGAAGTTTGAGCTTTAAAGCTTTACGTGACAAGCTCCTTATGTACTTTAGCTCGGAGAATAATTCTTTAGCTATTTTTGGTCTAAACGTAGAGAAGGACTTATTATTCAATATATGCTGGGAATAAAAAAAGTCAGAAAACCTACTTGCTTAATCTGTCTACTCTCCTGTATTACGTTTCGTATCATTTACTTAAATCAAATAACGGAACATAAACCGGTTTTTAAGGTAAAGCATGATGTTTTACAAAACCTTATCAAGTAAATTATCAAGTAAAGTAATCTTAACAGGGAGGTTTTGTGATTTGTTTCTTTTGTTTCAATTTCCAACTTTTTTTACTACTTAAAGTAGATTGTTTTTTTCTGTTATGATTTTTTTTGAACTGTTATAAAACATAAATAATAAATGTAACTCTCTTTCTTTGTATCTTAATGATCCTCCCAGAAAAAATGTTTCCTCCTAGTACTCTCAAGATGTTTCTCCAGGTATTGTCAAAATCCAAAATATGAATTCACCAGGAAGATCAGGACATTTAGCCAGCAGCATGTTTCTGAAAATGACAATGGCTGGCAGTCTGTTATCCATAATTTGTTAGAAGAATTTATATGAAATGTGTTTCTAACATCCATGTCCCCCTCAGAATGAATTGAAATAACTTTGGGGTTGTCTTCGGTTTATGAAGAAAATACCTGCATAACAGGTGTAATCATTACCCTCAGTGTGTTTAGAGCTAATTAGTTACTGTTACCCTTAACTAAGATGATAGACGTCCATGAAAAAAAGTCATTGCATTTATAGGCGACAGATAACTGTAAATTAATGGATGAAGAACATGTGTGTGGCATGACAAAGCACAGTTTGACAGTCTACCCATCCATTAAACATGGATTAGATTCCTTACTGTGCCTCATGCTGAGGCTGTAGACTGTTCCAGACTATCTGGCAGTCTGACAGTGAAAACTCCTCTGCTGTTTCTCAGCAACAGACTCTGTGGTTTGTTTCTGTGTCTCATATCCACAGAAACAAACAGCGAGTGTTTCAGCAGGGTTTGCACCAAAATGGATAAATGGTATGTGATTTGAAATGTACAATTGATTCAAAAAGGTTACTTAGGAAATTAATACATTCTTAAATTGATTTTTTTCTCCCTCAAACAAAGATGCTGTTTCTTGTTTTGGCAGTAAATGACCTTCACCTTCTGGGTGTAACAAGCGCTGCTGCACATATTCTGTAAACAAAATGTGCCGCTTTAGACAGATGTAGCAGATTGTAGGTGAAGGGAAAAAAGGAAACAAACCAATGCAGTTATATACATGTCAAAGAATGCTGTAAAACTCTAACACTTTTTTCTGTCTCATTAAAAATGCATCAAGCAACAACAAACATGCACACCAAAACAACAAATCAAGTTGGAATCATTTAACTGCCAATCCATAAAGGTGAAACATAATAGTAAATAAGGCAGACAACAAACGTTATTCAAAGAAATATGACAGGGTACACATTCTTTATTTATTTATCTTTTCTTGTATACTTTCTATCATAGTTTTACACTGTTAAGTATTAATTGAGCTTTCTCCAGCTTTTTTTTATCTCAACGAAAAATGAATACCGTTTTCATCGCGACACTTCCGTCAACAGAATCCTGTTGCTAAGGGGGTTCGTTGTCACCTCTTTCAAAGGACGTGCTAGTATAGAGAAACAGGTTTCAGTGTGTTGTTCATGCACAACTTGGTCCATTTTAGTCAAGCTTAGTAGTTATATTGGTGGCACAATGGCAGAGAAGCCCGCCGCGGTGGGAAATAAAGTTGGTAAATGTATGCTGCACAACTGGGTGGAAGAGGTGAGTTTACTTTACCTTAACTTTAGTAACTGAGAAGCTAGCCTGGCTAATGTTAGCCGCCAAACGTCACCCAAGAGTGCTTGTTAATGTAAGCTAACCGTGTGTAAACAAACCTTACCTCACTGTATAACTTTTAAGTTGAATACGTCATATAAAATACGTCATATTACTGGTATGCCTTGTTATGATATTTCACAACGTTAGACCATTTTTATGGTAGAGTAGGATTGTTTTAGCACGAAAAACCCACGTTTCCTTACGTTATGAGTTCCAGTGAGCTATTTCAGTTAGCCAGCATGCAATCAGTCATGATAATGTCCTTATGGTAATAACACATTGCAGTAATTTAATATGATATATGATTTCCATAACAAATACTTTTACTTGTAATTTAAATATATTTTGATGCTTATACCTTTCTACTTACAGATTTACTTGAAAATATGGTATAGGTACTTTTAAAAGACCTGAGTACTTTTTCCATCACTGTTCCTTGTTGTGTGTCTTTGTCATAATGGCTTTAAGACTTTTCTGCCATCTGCCTTACCTTGAAAACCTAAAAGAAATTACTTTCTAAGCTGAAACATGCTTATAAAAGGTAAATAAATGTTGATTCCCCCCATCTAAACCCTCCCTGTGTCCATTTATACAGAGGGCCATGGAGGATGTTGACACTCAGGAAACGAGGACACAAATCCAAAAACATGGACACAAAGGGATCATCACAATGGACCAGGAGTCTCAAATGGAGAGTGTCACCACGCTGAGAGCGAATTTCACTCCTCCCAAAGGTCCTGGGGTGAGGCTGCGGGGTACGTGTCTTTCACTAACAGTACCAACATAACATTATAACTCATCAATAGGCTAGGCATGTGTGTTCAGAAGTGTTGAAAATATTTGATGTAGGTCTTATCGAAAATGGGTCTGTGAACAAAAGGGCTTTCTCAGAGTGACTGCAGGGGAGCAGCCAAATATTGTTGGATAATGTTTTGAATTCTCTTTTGAATAAACATGTCTGAAAAGATATAGTATAGTGTTACTTTACCCATTAATTTTTGCGCAATCAGATGAGCTAGGTTATCTATGCTTAATCACTGTGCGACATATTATAAACACAACTGCTTTATAGTTGGCTACAGCTACATTGTTTTGTATTGTATTTCAATAGCTAAGTGTTGTTTACCATAAAACCGTATTTTTGTACAAGCCACTGAAGGTTGCCCTCTATGTTATTAACGGCATGGTGTAATATGCACATTTTTATACATTGACATACATGCAGTATCAGAATTCTACATAATTATGTATCCTTTGCCTGTTTTTCTTTCCCCCCCCCCTTTCCTCTAGTTTTAGATTTTTTTCCCTCTGTTCAGTAAATCTTTTTCAGATGATTTGCCCATTAATGTTTCTTTTTTATATTTCCATGGTCTAGGCATCAGAGGCGAGCTTTTGGAAAAACATAATGCCCAGAGGATAAGGTAAGTCAAGTATGAAGCAAGTCTTGATCTTAAAGAAAGTCTTACTGGAAGTGGTTTGTTTATGGGAACGGAGAACACTGGCTGACCATGTCCTGAGCGCAACACGCAGGAGAAAGTGATGTCATATTTACACGTCTGGCCTTTTTTCACTGTTCAATCACAGCTGTAATACCTTTTAAATCAGATTTATGATGTTATTTTGCATGAAGGTCAGTCATCCTTATGGTGTTCATTGCGTTGATCCCCAAAGATGAGTTTATAACCGTCCCGCACGAGTTAACAGCTCGTAAAGACTACAAAGCATCATGTCGAAAAGCAGACAGTGTGTCATCATTGAGTCTTAAGCCTTTCACTTTAAACATTATAAGACCACAACCACACAACTCCTCTATACTCATACATTTTTTACGGGCAGTTTGAGTATCACACTGCTCCTTCTAACAATGCATACAACTGAGGCTGATATCTTCGTATTTCTACAGAGAGAAGGTTAATGCTGAAAGGAACAAACCAAGTCCCAAAACTGACTTCTGCTCCACAACTCAGAGGGATTTCTGTGTACAGGGATTTGTGCCTCTTACCCCTGAAACAACCCAAGTAAGTGTTTATATCTGTGTGTATTGCAGGTTCACTGCAGTGATGAGAGCAAGTATCATGTACTATCATAAACAATATGTTGTATTTAGTGCCTAACCCTAACTTTAATGTTAGAACTGTTGTTAAAAGAACAGCCCAGTATGTTTCCCCAATTTTATATTTGTTTGGTAGATTTGCAACAGCATTATTTATTTTACCAGCCAATCGAATAAAGAGCATGCTTGATTATGATGAATGAATGACGTATTATTATAACGATGCCATTAGATTCCAGATTCAGTAGTATGATCATATGGGGCGGAAACAGGCCACTGACCGTGTAAAGGTTTTGAAATGATTAGTAGATTAATCCAAAGATCTTTAATGGCAGACATTTTGACTTGCAGGAAAAGCACATGTGGTACTAATGACTATAATGCCGGGAGTGTGGGGTAATAAATACCCCACGATAATCTAGCAGAACACATGGAATCACCCGCAAGAAGAAACACTCCATAGTGAAGTGATGTTGGTCCTAAACACACGAGTTGTTTTGTTGTGCGTTTTCCCGCAAGATAACCCTCCTCCCCTCTCCTAATACACTGCTATCTGCACTGGTTAGATTGTACGTATGCCTAACTATAATCATCATTACTTTGTTCCACATACTACGACCCAAGTGTTGTTTTATTTGTGTCATTCTCTGACTGTTCTGAAAACTTAAAAAAAAAAATTATTCAGTTATTTCCCACCATTTTGTTGTCAAAATGATTTATTACAAAAGGGAAACTGATAGCAAAAACAACAGAATATCAAAACAGCAACATAAAGAGGCTATTCAGACCAGGAGACGTCTGGGAAGAGAACAACAAATACATATAAAATGGTGAAGATCACAAGTACATTATTGTACATTATTTTCCTCTACAGCCGTCTCTGCTTTTCAGTTCTTCACAGATACCACATGATGTCCTTAAAGAAGTCATGCCTCGCCTGTAAAGGATTGAGGGGGTTACTTTAAGACGGCTGTTATGAAACATGAACAACATCTTCTGTGGTGCAGTGCATTTGCTTGTGATTAAAACACTCCTTTGTTGCCTTTTTCCAGGTTCATGATTACAAATCTGACCAGGCCATCACATTTTGGAGTGAAAACTGCCAGCGGATACAGGTGTGTGAGATTATTCCAACTGTTTGTTTGCTGTGACCGATGGAGCCACCTAGGTTTGCCCCTCCACGTTAAGGGCTAGCTGACAGACAACTGACAGCCGAATGCTTCCTAAATCCCAGCCTTTGGGAGACCCCCCCACCCCCCTGTATATTAAATACATTACATTAATGTATTATGGGCCAAAAGTAATAGATTATCTCAAAGTATTTGTTTTCCCTGATGCTGACCACTGTGCTTAAAGGTAGGGTAGGTAAGAATGGAGAAACCAGCTCGAGTGCGCTAGAATTTGAAAGTACACAACCGAAAAAAAATCTGCCCCTTCCTTCAGACTTCCTTACAGAGCCCCTCCTCCAACACACACGAACGCGCACATGACCAATGAGGGCACGAGATAAGTTTGTGCACGAGATGGAAGGCTGACAGGCAGGTAGGCCATCCAGTTATCATTTATAGTTATAATTGTCGTGCTTTTTACAGTACTACGGCTTCCACAGATGACATATTTTTATGGATTTTTTGTCAAAGCACTTAAGATATTCATTGCTATCGGGATGTTAAGAGCATTCCATGGAATATAACAAAAAGTGTATCTCGAGCTGGTTTCTCAAACTTACCTACCCCACCTTTAAGAGTATTCCATGGAATATAACAAAAAGTGTTTCTGAAGTGAATTACCTACCCCACCTTAATGTCCGATCATGTTTTCTGTTTTTTCCCTTATTTCTTTAAATAACCTACAGTCCCTAATGTGGGCAGAGATTGCAACAACAGTTGTTCTCAGGAGACCCGCACACATCCACCAATGTTGAGAGGAGGATGATTATACACTCTGCATTCAAAGCTCCCATTGTTCCCTCTGTGAAGTGTCCTCCTTTGTGATGTTTTATCGGTGTCTTCTGTCAGACAGCGAGTACAGAAGCATTCAGTAAAGCCCCTGTCACACTGTCCCGAAATTGACACACAAATATGGAATTGTGAATTTCGCACGAAGATGGCCCCGAACCACACACGAAGGCAACATTTACATTACATTTAAGACATACAACTGCAACGAAAGTAACAACGATTATGTTAAAGTACTATGATACTGTACTGATATTTTCAGACTTTGTTCTTTACTTTATCCATCTTTATATGTAGAAGATATAAAGTTTTCTCCGTAATGTTGTTTCCATAGCAACAACAACCTCCTGTCAACTCCCCTTCAAAATAATATATTATATCCTTTTCAGTTTCACAGAACACAAATTGGGTTATTTACACAATATGTTTACATGATTTTGTTGTGCAATAAAACAACCCGATGGACACACGATAAAGGAAAAGTTCAAATTCAGCTCTGATCGTAACAACATCGGGACATTCTTGAGGGCATCTTAAGCCATCGTATGACCGCCGGTGGAGTTTCTTATGGCTCCGGCAGCAACTTCGTGAGCGGTGGCAAAATCTTTGGCTTGACAAAAAATTGCCGAAGGACCTTGCGAAGGTTCATTTTCGTGTTGAATTCGTGTGTCAATTTTGCCATCGTGAGAGCATCGTGTTATCATCGGTGCCATCGGGCATTCGCCC